AAACTTTTTTTTTTTTTTTTTAGAGGGGGGGGAGATAGACATTGATTGGTGGCCTTCCGCATGCCAGCTGGGGCTGGGGATTGAACCTGCAACCGAGGTATGTGCCCTTGACCTGGGAATAGAACCCAAGACTCTTTGGTCCACGGGCCAACGCTCTAACCATTGAGCCAACCTGGCCAGGGCTAAAACAGAAACCTTAAAACAGCCACTATTTTTTTCAGAATCATGTGGGTCAGGTGGTGGTTCTCCTGATTTGGCCTGACATGGTTGGGGCGAGGTGGTCTGAGATGAGTTCACTCCCACATCCGGGGCCTCCTCTGAGCTGGTAGGATGACTGCAGCTTCCACTGTGCACTTTCTCACTCTCCAAGAAGCCAGTCCAGGCCTGTTCACATGACATGGAAGAGTTCCTGGGAGCAAGACAGGACAGGCTCTGGAGGGCAGACTTGTCAGGCCTCTGCTTGCGTTGTGTTGGCCAGTGTCCCACTGGTCAAAGCAAGTCATATGGTCAAACCTGGATGCAAGGGGTGGGAAGATAGATCCCACCCCTGATGGCAGGAGCAACAAAGTCTCATTGCAAAGAGGCTTTCACACAGGAGGGGGGACTAGTGTGGCTGTTTTCATAAACAATTACCACAGTAAGAAACCACAGGCTCCTCATCCAGAAGGAATTCTGACCATGTGAAGCCTGGGTTGTGCCCTTTGTGGACAGTCCCAGGTGGTCTCACTGGCTCATTGGACAAATGGTTTTACTCTGTACTTTTGTTCAATACATTTTTGTTGTCATGGCATCCTAGAGAAGGGAGCATCTTCATATTCTTGGAGCAGAAAGGTAAAGAGAAGGTTCTTAGGATTTGTGTTTTAGTTGAACCCTTCAGGATGTGAAGCATGTCAGAAAAGATCTGGCATTGGGCTAGAACTCCCCGTGGTTCATGGTGGGGGAACTGCTTGTACACCACATGAGTGATGTGGTGGGTTTCAAATGCCCCTCTTCAGCCGGTGAGGCAGCCAGCTCTGTTGGGCCAGAGCTTCAGGCATCATCCGAGAATTCTGACACATTCAGAGAAAAGGGAACCAAAATGTATTTGACTATTTCTAATATGACTGGTTCAATTTACATATTCTAATTGGTCACATAGGTTTACTTTTCAGTGGATTTGCTACAGTTCTGAACCATTACATTTTGGCAAGGAAAAGACATGTTTCCTCCTGCATTTTATTTTGGGCCTTTTATGAGCTTTGTTCATTTTCCTTAGTGTATATAAAGTGAGGTTGATGTCCTGGACCCCTTCCTGTTCTGTGGAAAGAATGTATATAAGTAAAACCTTTTGAAATTCTTGAGGTCCTTGTAGAAGGGTGTCATGTGATTTCAGGGCAGTATTTCCTTCTCAAGTTTGTGTAAGTCGGTTTGTCAGTAAATCAGGAGCCTCAGAACCTGGGGACTGGAGAACAACCCATCAGTTTTATAGTATATGATGACTTTTCAGAATGGTACTAGCTCTCAATCAGAGTGAATAGTCTTCCCCTTCTCCCCTGAATCTTCTCTGATCCTTCTTACACGTGTGGTGGAGGTGGAGGTGGGGAGTGCATGCGGCTTCTTAAGCACTTTCACTTCAGGGTGAGGCTGGAGGAACCAGGAGGCTGAAACAAGCAGTGATCGAACAGGTGGAGAGGAACTGCGTTAGCAGTTATTGGGGGAGTGGAAGGGGGTAAAGCGGGAGAAATGGTGATGGAAGGAGACTTGACTTGGGGTGGTGAACACACAATACAGTATATAGAGGATGTATTATAGACTTGTACACCTAATGCCTATATAATTTTATTAACTAATGTCACCCCAATAAATTCAATAAAAATTATTTTAAAAAGTAAAACAAACAAAAAAAGTTGAGTGCCTACTTGACAAATACCACCATTCGTTATTTCACTTATGCATATAACAAATCCATGATGAGAGGATTAGTATCTTCACCAGACAGATAAGCACACTCAGGCATGTAAGTTAAAGTGTGAGGGTGCCAGTGGGGCAGCCTTGTTCCTGGTGTGGAATGACTGGGACTCTTGGCTCCTTGCTCCTGGTCCAGGTAGCTGAGCCCCACCTTCTCTGATCCAACCCATAGGAACAGTAAATACCAGAATGAGCCGAGACTCTAGAGTCAGAAAAGGGGGAGTTCTCCATAGGGCCTTTGGCCAATTAGTGACCTCCTAGTCTCAGGTTCCTCCGTGGTGGTGAGGGATGACACTGTTCACCTCATTTTC